CTAAGGTTCATAACTGAGTCCAGTCTTGTGGAATGTATTGCCTTATGTTTTCTTCTACATAGTTTATGGTTTTAGGTCTTGTAACTGCTTATGTGATATATATGCTAGACTTATTGTGGTAATCATTTCTTAACACAGACAAATATTGTATCATATTGTACACCAGAATGTTATGTACATTTATACTTCAATAATGTATTATTTTATTCTTCTTTTCACTGGGTTAAAGTAATCACTCTCCCCTTAGCCATAGATATGAGAAAGGCACCAATATGAGTAACATTTCCTATATGGAAAAACCTTCCCCAAACAAACTTTAAATATTTTGGTTTGTAATCCCAAAACAATGTTCTTATTTTTCTTCTCCCTGCACATTTTTGAAGTGTATACAAGTAACTACCTTGAAAAGCTTAAATAAAATACAGAAAAAATGGCCTTGTATTAAATGGTTGGTTCTTAAGCTGACCATCAATACTAGAACTTTGCAATTTTTTTTTAGTAATTATCTTGTACTAGAAAATAAACACTGACTTTTTAAAATCTTTTTTTTTATGACTTAAGGTACTCAGTTGTTTTGTCTTTGGATACAAACTGGTAGAGTTTCATATCAACAAACAAGAAAAAGATTAAATAATGTAATCTTTAACCTTAAGGAAATAGAAAAGGAAGGACAAGCAACACAATAAGTCAATAGAAGAAAGAAAAAATAGAGTGAAATATAGAGAAGAAATAAATGAAATAGAATTAAAAAAAGATAGTCCAAAAGACAACCAAATACTGACTCTTTGGGAAAAAAATTAACAAAAGACAAACCTGCACTTACAAAGAAAAAGAGAGAGAAAACTGTAATAAATAGAATCAGAGATGGAACTGGTATACTTACAAGAGATATCTCAGAAATAAAGCATTATAAGATACCAAGAAGACTACGTGGAAATATATTGAATAACCTGAAACAAATAAACATTTCTTAGAGGTATAAAACCTTCCAAGACTGAGTAAGGAGGAAATGAAAAACCTGAACAGACCAATTACAAGTAAAAATTTGAAGTAGTAATCAAATCTTCCCAAAGTAAAAGCCAGTACCACATAGTTTTGCAAATAAGTTTTCCCAAACCATCAAAACCAAACTAAAACTATCCTTCTCAAATTATTACAGAGACCAAGGAAGAGGGAATGATTTCAAATACATTTTATGAGGCATCATTATCCAGTTACCAAATCAGGCAAGGATATCACAAAAATAAAATCTGCATGCCAATATTCCTGATGCAGAGATGCAAGAATTGTCAATATAATCTCAGTAAACAATTTTAAAAAATGTGCTAAAAGGGTCATATATAATGTCTAAGTGGGATTTATTTCCAGGAAGCAAAGAAAGGATGGATCAACATCTGAGAATTGACTAATATAATTAACTAAAACAAAATTACATAAGCCCTAGTAATCTGACTGTACAATTGAGATTACCAGACTGGGGAAGAACAGAGAGGGGAGGGGACACAACAAACAATGGTAGAAGACAATGGGTGCTTTGGCAGCAGGTGTGGAAACAAACCTGAAAGTTGTGACGACTACCTTTTAATCATATATAACATTGCAAATCAAGGTTGTCTCAGTAAAAATAAATGAAAAACAGTCCTAAAAAAAAAAACTATATGTAGCATTAGCATTGATAAGATTCAACATTCATTTATGATAAAAACCCTCAATAAGCAGGAATAGATCTAAACATAATAATAGTCATATTTGACAAAACCATATTCTCAATTTCAACTGAAAGATTTTCCTCTAAGACCTCATATACAACAGCAAGTTCACTTTCACTACTACTGTCAGCATAATATTGAAAGTCTTAGCTAGAGCAATAAGGAAAGAGAAAGTGACTCCATATTGGGAAAGAAGAAGAAAAGCTATCACTCAATCACAATTTGCACACAACATACTAATGTACAGAGAAAACCCTAAGGACTCAAAAAAATGTTAAAAACAAATCAGTTCATTAAAGTGGCAGGTTACAAAGTCAATATATAACAATAAGTTGAGCTCCCATGTGAAAAAGATATGAAATAGAAGAAAAAGAAATCAAGAAAACAATCCCCATTACTATCACATCATAAAGTATTAAGTACTTAAAAGTAAATTTAATAAAGGGAGTGAAGGGCTTTTGCAATGAAAATTATGACACTAAAAAGAAATTGACACATATATTAAACTACCCTACAAAGCTATAAGAGTCAAAATAGTATGTTACCGGATAAAAAGACACATGGCCCAATGGATTATAATGAGATTCTAGAAAAAAAAACCCATATTTATATGGATAATTAATCTATGACAAAGGTGCCATTGGAGAATGGATATTCTTTTCAATAAGTGATGTTGGGGAAACTAGAGAGTCAGAAGCAAAATAAATCTAGATCACAATCTAACACTTTGTATACAAAAATTAATGCAAAGTAAAGATTTAGATATAGGATCTGAAACCATAAAATATACAGAAGAAAGTAGCAAAATACTCCAAACCTTGGAATTAGTGATATATTTTGGGACTTGACTCCTATGACAAGATAAAGGAAAGCAAAAATAAACAAATGGGACTACATCAAACTAAAAAAAGCTTTTAAACAGTGAAATAAACTATCACTAAAACAAAAAGACACCCTACTGAATGGGAAAACACTTGCACAGACTACATCTGAAAGGGGCTAATACCAAAGATCTACAAATAAATCACATAACTCACCAAAATAAAGCTAATAACCCAAACGAAAAAGCCGACAAAAATCTAAATAGATACCTCACCAAGGAAGACAAATAAGTGGACAACAGACACATGATAAAGTGCTTATCAGCACTTAGAATCAAGGAAATTAAAATCAAATCCACAATGAGATACTACATCAAACCTGTGGAAAAAGGCCCATATCAAGAAGTACACTAACAACATGCTAGGGATTATGTGCAGTCCTTGTGCACTGTTGTTGGAAATGTATAACTGGTCCAGCTCTTACGGAAAATGTATGGAGATGTCTCAAAATATTAATGTAGATCTACCATACGACCATTATTTTTGCTCCTGGGTATCTTCCTGAAGAAAGCAAAACCACTAATGTAAAGGATTATATGCATCCCTGTGTCCATTGCAGCACTCTTTAAATAACCAAGTTATTCAAGTCACCTAAGTGGCCAAGGACACAGACACACACACATACATACATATACATATATACACACATACAATACAATCAAATGCAACTCAACTGTGAAAAGCTGAACTCTTTCCATTTGTGACAAAATTTATAGAGCTAGAAGGTATCATGCTCAGGAAATAAGTCAAAAGGAAGAGGACAAATACTGGGTGGTTCTGCTCATAAGTGGAATATAGAGAAACAAAGCATCAAGACGAAACATAATCAAAAACCTTAGATATATGACTGTAAAAACTAAGCTATAAGTGTGAGAAGGAATGGTGGAAAGCAAAGGCAGGAGGGAGCGCAATGAATGAGGTGTTCATTGTGGATGATAGTGGGTGCTTTTGTGGTGGGTGTGGCGTGGTATCATGTATAGTGTTGTAAATCAAAGTTACCTTAATGAAAAAAATATCATAAAAATGTAAGTCACAAAATTCAATTAATTGAAGCTAAAAATGAAAAGTAAAAGTAATGATCCTGCTATAGGCTTTCAAATATAAATTATCTTTCTTTTAATTTTCCCCAATTTTACCAATTTTGTCTGTTTTTGCAGGATTCTACCATGTGTATTTTATCTGTACTCATTTATATTTTAAGAATTCCTTCTTTGTATTGTCTAAGCTTTTGAAAATAGTAATGTTTTAATACTTGGTTTCACTAAATGTATTAGTGTATTATGCTTGAAATTTTTTAATCTTCTAGAAATAGTTAGAAGTTTATATTAAATCATAAGGTGTGTAAAGGTTTTAGGTTAAAACTAAAAATTAAGGCATATAAATTTAAATTTAAACTGGTAATAAGTGAGATGGAAAAAGAATTTATGTTATAAATAATTATCAAAACTATTGTTTTATTTGATGTTGCATAATTTTCATGATCACAATGATATAAAAGAAGTAGTCTTCAAAACATAGAAAGTCATCTCACCTTAGTTTCAGCTTTCATTTTTTTCATTATAAATGAAGTTTTCTTGAACATTTTCCAAAATATTGATCCATATATCAGTTTAATGTGCATTTAAATTTTTCTAGTAGATTTTAGTATTTACATGTCATTCATGTTTTTTCTCAAGCTCACTAAGAAAAATGGGCTCTTTTTAAGCAAGGATGTTCATCATAGTATTGCTTACAAATGGAAAACATATAAATAGTATTCAATAATGAACTGCTTATGTAAGTTTAGCAAATCTATGTAATATGTTGTACTATATTAAATGATGATATCGATTGATATTTATTAACATGAAAAGATGATTGTTTTATTTTAAAATTAAAATATGACCCATAACAATACATACAATATACTGTCATTTTTGTTTGTAAAACAGTGTGTCTATATGGACAGAAGGCATGGATGGCTATGCATACAATGAAAATTTTAATAGCAGTTATCTTTGAATTATGGGAATTTTACCACTTTATAAATTTTGCATTGTGTACATTACAACGAACATGTATAATGTCTATTTCAATAAAAAACAATTTCCATTTAAAATATTTGATAATGAATATATGTGAAATCTGTAGTAAACAATTATGTATAAAGAGCTTATTCTCATTATCTTAAGGGAAATAGCTAACAAAAGTGTTAACAAAATTATATCTTTATATTGTATCATGAATTAAATCAAATGTTTCTATAAAAGGTAAAAAAACAACTGAGGATAGAGATAACACATTTAGTTATGGTTGTATCTATGGTGTAAGTGAATACTATTTTCAAAGCATTATTTAAATCTTATACCAATTAGTTATTTATTTTTCAACTTCCAAAATAAATTGGAACTGGCTTATATTTAAAAAAAAAAAAAGGCACTCCAAAGGAAACATAAAGGTAATTATAATATGGATAGAAAGTAGATGGTTGGGGAGGAGAGGGACCTGTAAATGAAATACAGAAAATCTGTAATCTAGAAATTATGGGCTAAATAATATAGCTGCAATATAGAAAATAACATTTTGTCAGAACTTCCAAACAGACAGACATAAGAGAATCATACTGGATTAATAGTTTTCATATTATGGATTTAAAAAAAAGATATAATGGCAAGTTCTAGCCCGATTTAAAAAATAGGTATAATGGCAAGTTCAATAGATGTTCTTCAAAGCAGTTTTTCAATACCATTATTTTGACAGTAAAGGCTGAAGGTAAAATATTTAAATTATTTGAAAAGACATTTCAGTGCAGATATCCATCTAGTTAGTTTAATATGGTCCAGAAATATGTATCATGGAGTTATGTAAAATTAGTGCCAATAGTACCCTTCAGACTCTCCTTAAATATCAAACCTTTCAGAAGAGATTTTTAAGATGTCACATAATTCAAATATCAGTGTCTAAAGTGTTAACTCTCCTTAAATATCAAATCTTTCAGAAGAGATTTTTAAGATGTCACATAATTCAAATATCAGTGTCTAAAGTGTTAATTTTCTGAAGTACTTATGAGAAAAAAACTATGTGTTTACTTCTCTTGATGTGAAGTTTATAAAGAAAATTTCCAACATTAGTCAAAACCATTATCCAGTCTGAGATATGCACACAGTATATTAACAGGAAAAAAAAAAACATTAATAAATAGTCAGGAAGATCACATTTTAAAAGAATATTCACTTTAAATAATAATTTAAGTTGAAATTATGCACAAGTGTTAATGTGTCACATACATTTCTCCCCATTGTATTGATGCTTCAGATACCAAGTTAGAAGTTTTCACTGTGATAGACTCAGAAGAAACATTTTGAGACTATTTTTATAGAAGTAATTAAATTTAGTACTATTACTGAAAGGACGTAAATATATTCAATCTATGACCTCACCTTGACAGGTTTAAGAAAAAAAAATATGTGAAGGAATAAAATTTATTCCACATTTTCCCAAGAATATCATATCAAAAAATAGTACAAAAATGACAATTTCACAATTAAAAATTATGTTCTTCACCAAAATGAACACGGTTTTCTAGTTTCACTTTCTTCAGAAGAAAGTATTCCTTTCCATTCCAAAAAAAAAAAAAAAACCAAAAAAACCAAAACAAACCAAAAAACTGTGAATGGGCATAAAATAATCTCTTATCACAAAGTAGCCCAAACTAAGTAGGCACCAGCTTAAGGCTGAAATAAATTGCGTATTCTTATTTTTACCACCTGCGCCTGGCCTGGCCCAGGGTGACATGCAGGGGCTTGGAGCCTACTATGCGACCATTCATCTCATCTACTGCTTTGGTTGCTTCTTCAAAAGAGGAGAAGCAGACGACACCAAACCCTTTGCCTTGCCCCACTTCCACCATCACTTTGGCCCTGCTAATTGATCCAAAGGAAGAAAATTCGTCCTTCAGCTTTTCATCATCAATGGTCTCGTCCAGATTCTTAATATAGATAGGCACCCCAGGAGGCCGACTTTTTTCTTTTAATCTCAGTCTTTCAAATCTTTTCCTTAGCTCGGCCAAACGTTCAATTTTCTTTTGTGCTCGCCCTACATACAGGACTTTACCATTCATGGCCTTCCCATGCAGGTTTAGCACAGCCTTTTGGGCAGCCTCATGTGTCTCATACCTCACAAATCCAAACCCTTTGGATTTTCCATTGGCATCTCTCACTACCTTAACACTCTCAGTTGGCCCATATTCACTGAAAATTTCCTTCAGTTTTTCATCGTCCATGTCTTCTCCAAAGTTTTTAACGAAAACGTTAGTGAAAGTTGCTCTGTCCCTGGTTCTGACTTCAGCTGCCCTCTCTTCTGGAAATTTGAATCGGCCAACATACACTTGGCGGTTGTTGAGTCGCACTCCATTCATGTGCCAGATGGCCCTATTGGCAGCGGCCAGGCTGTCAAAGTGCACGTAAGCATAACCTTTTGAGCCATTGTCATCGCATACGACTTTGCAGGAAAGAATGTTACCAAAAGCAGAAAATAAATAAAAAAGGGCTCTGTTGTCTATGGACTTATCTAGGTTTTTGATGAATATGTTTCCAACTCCAGACTTTCTTAAACGGTCATCTGGCTGAGACCACATAAGGCGGAATGGTTTCCCATTAATCAAATCAAAGTTCATAGTGTTCAGGGCCCACTCAGCATCTGCAGGAAAGCGGAAGTTAACGTAGCCATAGCCCAGGGGGTTGCGGGTCACTGGGTCACGGCAGATTCGGGTGAAGCGCAGAGGGCCAGCAGGCCTGAACTTCTTATACAGCATGTCCTCAGTGACATCTGGGTCTAAGTCACCCACGTAAAGGGCAGCCTTGAGATACTTCTTCTTCTTGCCAGCAGGATTAGGCTCCCCACTCCCCATTTCTCTGAACACAGAAAAGAACCTCTCTTGGGAGAGAAAAAAAAAAGACTGCTTTCTCTAAGATATGGGCCAAGCAGCTGTTCAGGAGCAGAAAAAGCCAAGGCCAGGGAAGCTAAAAGCAGACTCAGAATCACCGTTGAGGCTGAAAAAATGAAGTTTAGAAACAGCTGTCAGCAAGCTCAGAATAAACGCATTAGAAAAAAAAAAAAAGCACCCCAAAGCGAATCTTTCTCCCTAAGGGGATTTGTAATTTCCACCCATTCAGATTTAACATCAGTTGCAAAGCCAGTTGTAGGAAAGAAATTTCCTTTTCCCCGTGCAATTGTAAGAAATCATGAAGCAGCTGACTGGCTTCCCAGGTCTAGCATTGCCGACAGAGGCCTTGAGACCGGTTTTCTGCACAAATACAGGCCTTCAGCTCCTGCTGACTTAAAATGATACCACGAAGGCTCCGACGGAACGGAACGTGTATTCCTCCGCCGGCTGCCGGGCCGGTCTCAGGAGGGCTCGCAGCAGAGTAAGGCCGGCACACAAACTCAGCGTCAGCTAAAGGGCAGACGGGACTTGGTGTGTTGGGGCCCGCAGGCAGGCTGAGGCGGCAGATCGCACAGAAAGACAGACAGACAGACACATGCGCGGGGCCCCGAGACCGCCCAGATACCCAAGATGCCCACTGGGTACGGACCGAATGACGCGCGGTGATTTCGGCAGCCTGAGATTCGCCGCAGGTCCGGAGGGACTGAGTGGCAGACGCGCACTGGGCCAGCTCTGACGCGAGGTGGTTCCGGACAGATGCGGGGCGGAGTCAGAAGAGACGGGCAGATGCGCTGCAGACGGGCAGAGAGCGGACAGATGGACGGGGATTACTCTGTGCAGGACAGACAGACCCAGGGAGGAAAAGGATGTAGCTGCGGTAGGGCGTGCGGGCGGGCGGGGCGCGAGGAAGAGGAAACCCGGAACTTGCTCAGCGCCAAGATGATAGAGAGAGAGAGGGAAAGAGAGGGGGAGAGAGAGGGAGAGAGAGAGAGAGAGAGAGAGAGAGATGATTTAAGTTTTAGGCACATCTATGATCTTTTCTTCTATGGTTAATTAACTCGGGACTGTGTTTTTCTCATTTAGAAATATTGCATTAAAATAACATCATAAATCAAAGAGAATAAATCCCATATTATCTAATTCTGACCATTATGTTGGAGTTGGATGAAATAAGGACCAAACACAACAGAGTCCTGTGTTTTATTTGACCCAGTGATCATTTAGCACTGGACTAGGAGGGCAGTAAAGACTGAATCTGACTAATATTGAATCAAACCAACATTTCATTGGTTTATGTAAATATATTAAGCGTCCCTATTCCAATTAATGTGTATATATTTTCTTTAAGATTATGAATAAAGTGTTAAAATAATTCCTGCCTACACATAAAATAAGATTGGGGTCATTGCAATATAATCATTCTAGACTAGTGATCTTTTTATTACATCAAAAATTAGAAATTTTGAACAGCTGTAAAATAAATTTGAATGGAGTTCCCTTTGCTAAGCAAAAGTTTATAGGGGTAAAAAAGAGCATCTTTAAATTTTAAAAATTTGTTGAATATTAAGAGTGAGAAGACGCTAGAATAAAAATCAAATATAGAACATTTTTTTGTTATTGTATTATATATAAAAAGTACATTTGTAGTCCGTGAATCTGATTCATATATTAAAATCCATTAGACATTTCCAGTCAGATTCCTAAAGCAGTTGGTTGAAGCATAGCTGAGTATTTCTAAATCTGAAAACATTTTGCATGAGGAAAGATTCAAGGACAACTGGCATTTGAAGTGCATTCTATCACACGTTGTTAGTTACAGTTCATAGTAACGTGTCAGCACGAGTGGAAGAAGAGAATCGAGATTTATATTTGCAACCTTGTCACAGACACATGTTTCAGTCTTCCCAATTAAGTTTCAGCTGTATGAGTTGTTTGTACTTCACTGTAAAAGTAAATTTGCTGCTCTCTTGAATGGGATTTGGGATGACTGAACAAAATATTGCAAAGACTTTATTACCTAGACAAAGAGAAAAAAAAATCAAGAAAACAGTTTGTCTTGAAGAGTAACAGTTTGTCTTGAAGAGTATAAATGGCATTTCTGTAGTAATTTTTTTTCCATTCAGCAACAATTCTTTTTCTCACTTTCCAAGTACTTTATCCTGAGTCATGATTACTTATGCAACTTATGCTCGGAATAATAATCCTGAAGGTAGTTTGATAAAAATAACTATCAAGCAAAGTTTAAGTTGTGTTGATTAGATTGTACTTCCTAAACTGAGAAAGTGACCAAAGTGGGAAAAGCTTAATCAGCTTATAAAGTTGAATGGGTTCTTGCTAATTTGTTAATAAACCACATTATCTTATCTTCAACATTTAAATAAAAAATTAGTATTTAATCTATAAAGTTGTTATATATATATTCAAACAAGGTTATAGCTATAATTTGTAAGGTATTTTTTAGAAAAATAAGAATAATTTTATGAAAAAGCTTAACATTACTTGTCTCATGAACTAACTCACTGTTGAATTAAAAAAGCATGAGAGTAAATAAAACACATATAACAACTTTATATATATTTTGGTCTATGTATCTGTTTATGGTGGGTGCCCTTGATGTGGATTGTATTAATTTATAAGGAATCCGTAGAATGTGAATTTATGCATTTGCTACATATTTACAATTCAGTCTATTTAGGGTTTTATGTAGCACATATAACAGTGCAAGCAACACATTTTCTGTTACTACGCCTTGAAATAGGGTAGAAGTATCATGTACTTGGCAGAAAGTCTCAGACAAATCTTTCTGTTTACTGAACATATGTCTCATACAGGGAAAATACACAAACACCATATTCACTGATTATATATCTATTTAATCTGACCTAGACACTAAATAAAATAAATATTATAACTCTAAATTTTATGATTCACTTTTCAGTTTTGTAAAACATACTATCAGAATTTATCATCTTAACAATTTTTGAGTTCATAATTTAGTGACAATGAGAATATTCTTATGTTTTTTTTTCTTTACTGAAGTAACATTAGTTTAAAGCACTGTACATTATTATGGGGAATAGGTTCACACATACCTCCTCAGATGTATGTTACCATACCATCCCCTTCATCAACAAAACCACAGGCATTAAACCTAGGCCATTAGATTTCTTCCATCTTTTGACCCTCATCCCAAGCTCTAGTAGCCTCAATTCTGCAGCCATATTTCTAAGATTTGTTTTGGGTTAGCTTTGTCAGTCCTTTTATGATAGTTTTCTCTATATTTTGCATGAGTGAAATTATCTGATATTTGCCATTATTATTCCCACTCATTTTAAATGGAATAATTCCCTATAGTTCCACGCATGTTGTCAGAAATGGCAAGAGTTCACCTTTTATTTTTAATAATTGAATAGTATTCTGTAATGTACATATACAGCACATCTTAATTCCTTGCTCTGTCAATGAGGATTTAGGTTGCTTCCAACCTAATTGAGAATATCTATGTCTTCTGCTCACTTTTTGATTTGGGTCTTTTTGTGTGTTGTTGTTGTTGTGTAGTATGAATTATTTGCAGATATCATTGTAATTTTGATTTTAATTTCACTAATGATAAGTGATAATGAATATTTCTTATGTGTGTTGACCAACTTTTATGTTTTTATCAATAGATACTGAAAGCACATTAGCTAATATTCAACATCCATTTACGATCAAAACCTCAAAAAAACTAGGAATAAATGAGTATATCTTAACATAATAAACACCATATATGACAAACCCACAGCTAACATTTTCAATGTTGGAGAACTGAAAGATTTAGCACTAAGAAATGCAGAAAACAAGGACGCCCATTCTCACCACTGCTATTTAGCATACATTTGTAAATAGCAGTTAGAATGAAACAAGAGAAAGATAAAAAGGAAATACAAATTTCAAAAGAAGTAAGACTATCATTTTTATACAACATGATAATATACAAAGAGAATCCTTAAAACTCCACTGAAAAAGCAATTAAAACAATAAATCAGTTCAGCAAAGTGGCAAGTTACAAACTCAATTTATATTCAGTTACATATCATTATGAAAATAATGAGCTAGAAGAAGAAATTATGAGAATGATTCCATTTACAATCACCCTACCAAAAAAAAAAAAAAAAACACAACAGTAAACCTAACAAAGGAGATGAGATGTGAACTTACAAGTAAAACTATGACTTTGCTAAAAGAAAATGAATTAGACACAAAGAAATGAAAAGTTATTTCCTTCGGATGAATGGGAAGAAACTAATTGTCAATATAGCCATCTTATTCACAGCAAAATACAGACTCAATGCAATCCACACCAACATTTCAATGACATTCTTCAAATCAATAGAACAAAATTTACTGAAATTCATATGGAGCCACAAAAGATTCCAAATAGCCATAACAATCCTGACAGACAAGTGTGGTATCACTTTTAGACCTGAAGCTGTACTAAAAAGCCATAACAACTAAATATCATGGAACTGTAACAGAAGTGGACACATAAATTGAGAGAAGAGCAATAAAACCATACCAACACATATAGTTAACAGATGACAAAGGAGCCAGAAATATGTACTGGAAAAAGGAAAACACCTTCAATAAGTGGTGCCACATGCAAAAGGATGAATTTAAATCACTATCTCATATCATATAAAAAAACCCCATAGCTATATCATCCCTGAATGGCGGGGAAAAAAAAGACTTGGATGTAAAACCTGAAACATAAAACACATAAAGAATAGCATGCAAAACACTTCACAACATAAGCTTCAGTGATGGCTGTGTGGATTTGTCTCTAGAAATAAAGAAAACAAAAGAGAATATAAACAAACTGGGACTATATAAAACTTAAAAACTTATGCACAACAAATGGAGCTGTAATGAAAGTGAAAAGCCAACTGAATGAAGGACTATATTTGTACATACATCTGACAAGATTGTGATATCAAGAATCTACGAAAAATTCACAAACTCAACTAAAAGCAAACTAATAACGTGATCAAAAATGAACAGAAAAGATAGACACTTCTATATAGAAGATATACAGATGGTCAATAAGCACATGAAAAAATATTCATATCACTTATTGGTCAGGGAAATGCAAATCAGAGCCACAGTGAGATACCATTTCACACCAGCGGGAACTGCATATATTAAGAACAGGGCTCCCCCTGGTGGTGTAGTGGTTTAAAGCACAGCACTAAGAAGCTAAAGCCACTTCAGCATGAGTTCGATCCCCTGCCCTGGAGGTGACCCATATGGTGTGGCAGACCACTCCTGACACGCTCACTGCTCCCCTCAGCAGTGAGCATATTTTTTCATGTGCTTATTGACCATCTGTATATCTTCTATATAGAAGTGTCTATCTTTTCTGTTCATTTTTGATCACGTTATTAGTTTGCTTTTAGTTGAGTTTGTGAATTTTTCGTAGATTCTTGATATCACAATCTTGTCAGATGTATGTACAAATATAGTCCTTCATTCAGTTGGCTTTTCACTTTCATTACAGCTCCATTTGTTGTGCATAAGTTTTTAAGTTTTATATAGTCCCAGTTTGTTTATATTCTCTTTTGTTTTCTTTATTTCTAGAGACAAATCCACACAGCCATCATTCAGCCTGCTCTGGTCCCCACTCTCTCTGGTGAATCCTCTCACTGCCCCTGCACCTCTGGCCTGTACCCCTGTTCTATATGAATGAATAAATAAATCTTTAAAAAAAAGGAACATAAACAAGTGCTGGTGAGGGTGTGGAGAAAACATTACCTTCTTATACAGTTAGTAGGAAAATAGACCAGTCTAGTCCTTATGGAAAACTTCCTGTATATTTCTCAAAAAACTGAAAATGGACCTGCCATATGATATTCAGCAATTCCACTCCTAAGTATCTACCCAAATAC